TGTTCTTACAAAAATATGTAATATAATAACGGTAGTATATGATGGCGCGAGTTGCATTTGTGCCAAAGTCCGACCGAATACGCCGTGATATGGTTGCTTGTTGGGTTCTCCTTTAATGGACATGGGTTGTTAATAAATCAAGAATCTGAAGTCTTACCTTATGTACTTTCCAAATATCATTGTGCTATAAATGACAACGAAACAACAAACTGCTTAAATACTAATTTTCGAATTAATATATTTTTCCCAGTGTGAAGTTAGCTTAAGAAGCACTAAGGAGGCCTGCACATGAGTGTATGAAAGTTAAAAGGGGTGTTAAAACAAAACGGATGAGTTTGGACAAAGGAAGGAAGCGACGCGTTCCTAGGATTACAAGCCTTTTGATATCACGATTTGTGCAAGCAATGTCGGATACCTAACATATTTTGATTAATGAATGCTTCTTCATTTCATACATAAAGACGTTCAAAGGAACGCGCCTCATTGTCTAAAGATCATTCGCTTTTTTAAAACCTCCTTTAATTTATATTTGACTTGTGTGCGTGGGTGTACATGGAAATATTAAAAAACATAATATTTTATATAACCGTTTTAAGTGTAGCTATTCTATTGCTGCACACTTATAGAATACAACAAAATAATGATGTAATTAACTACAATTGGACGTAAAAACATAAAAATCTTACCTCATTCGCGGAACAAAATAAAACCATTTACAGTTATATTTTAAAAAGTATCTTTGTTATAAAATAAAGGAGGCGGGGATAGATTTATTTAGTTTTATATTCATCTCGAACTGCTAATTTGCCGAGCGGTTAATTGGCTAAGCTAGGCGATGCCAGCCAGTGCAAGCAGTGCCAGTAGCACGTAGTATACTTATCTAGAGCAACATGCGTTGTGCACTCGCCCCGCATTGTTCCGCCTCCGACGGCGAATAAGTAAACGCTGTTAACTTAGCCTGCTTATTAGGGTTGCCAGTCAAAATAAAAAACAAAGAAAAACTGACGTTAAAATTAAGGCAACATTATTTTGATGCATACACTAAACACACAACGCTTAATATGAAAATTAATTATGTAATGTTTATTAAAAATTAGTTAGTTTTCTGACTTCTAAATAAACTGCTATAATTTGAATCATAATCATTTTTAGTTATATTAATTTTCACACATTCTATCTACATCTATATGTATTAAGATGCATGCGTGGTCAAATTGAAAACTTGGAATCACTTCATTTGAACCCCAACTTTTCTTTTTAAATAATTGAAAAAAAAATCGAAAATTAATTACTCTACAACACAAAGCTGCAAAGATGTCGCTTCACTAGTTCCGATTAAACGTCCATCATCGATAAACAAATGAATACACATTTAAGCGTGAACAACCCTAGCGTTCAGGGAGGGAGCAACTCGTTCGCGTCTCGCTTATAAATGCTATTTTAACGCGGAAAAAAAGATTAATTAACTAATTGAGACGTCGGATGCTCGCAACACGCGCGCAGCTTTTTTATCACGACTCATGAAACCATTAGCGGGGATGCGACTACGGAATAAGTTCGCGTATTGGAAAATTATTTATTTCACACTTTACGGTTTACTGAACCACAAAAGCAACCATTTTACAAACACTACACCGTTCTGCGGACAAATTTTTTCTTCAATATACGTAATATGCATCAGCGTGTGATTTAAATATTGATTTTTTTCAATAAACACGTACGGACGTATCTATTTTAAATCTATTATATTTATTTTAATCATCATAAGAATACAATTAACATAATTAGCCTTACTTTCATAATAATTAAGTAATAAATAAAGAACTGTCTGCTGTTTTCCGTAAAGCCTTTTATTAAAAAGAACAATAACGAGCGGAAAAAAAAGTAATTTGGAATTTAAAGAATCGCGAGTACAGCAAAAAAAAATAACTATTCTTTTTTAACGTTGTTTGTCGAGACATATTTAATTCCGGCGCTATCCGACTGGCAACGAAATTCCACAACATCTGAAACAATGTGACTCGAATGTTTAATTAGCGCATTGCAGCCGGGTAGAGGGTAGCGGGGGCCAGGGGGAGGGGGAGGTGTTATTCATTAAAATGTTTGCGGAAACTCGTTTAGCGCCGCTGCGGTGGGCGACGCCCGCCCAGCGATCAGGGCTGCATTTTCATATTAACTTGTCCAAATCATCAACTTATATTTATAGATAGATAGTTTAACAACATTTTAGATTACTAGTAGCTAAGTAGTACTTTATTTACTGAAATTTAACTGTATTCACTGTTTATCCGTAAATGTATGATAAGATGGATATAAAGAGGTTTTTATTTTACTTTTTGTTTTTATTTTAGACTAACTGTTGTCATGCGACTGCAAATGTCAAAACGACATTACATGATGACAAGCCATGGCAACCTTGCTTCTTTGATGTTGGTAGCAACTTATGGTCTCTTTTCCACAATAAGGTTTTTATCCAAAATATTTAACCCCTAAGTATAATGGCGTGAAAATATATAGCCTAAAGCGTGACGTAAGTGTAGGGCTTTTTATTAAAGAAAGAATTATTCAAAAATATGCTGTAATTGCTGACGTCTTAGGTAACAGAGAAGTGTGTGTTTACGCTTTATTATAATAGTATAGAAGTATAGATGATAAGAATTAGCGCTTAGCCATAGAAGGATGTAGTGATTAAGTCAGAAGATGTTACGTGCTAGTCTAGTAAGTGCCTAAGTGTTACTTGTAGGTATCGCTTATACGTCCTATTTAGACAAAATCTGTGCTATTCTCGATATGTTTAAGTTTGGGAGCTTCATACTAGTATAATGACTTATTAAGCACAAATAAAATCGACTTATGAATTAGTTATATTAATTTCATTATGTTCTTAATGTTTAATGAGACTGTCAGCCCTGAGGGCGCGGTTGCGCGGGGCGATGGCGGGGGGAAATATTCATTTGCTCGTCGCAGCCTCTGCAACCCACTTAGTAGACTCGAGTGTCTTCTGTGAGGCGATATCTCGTTACTGCGAGGCTAGTCTGTTGTTTAGTTAACAAAAATTAATATATGCTATCGATAGTAGGCACACCCATTCAAATGTTACGATTAACGGATAATGCTTTTCGCGTATCTGACGATTGTAATCTCCTGTAGTATTTGGTAGAATTTAACTGTGTATTTTATTGGCACTGACATCTAGTTTTTCCGGTTTTTTCTTTTTCATATAATTTTAAATTTGTACTTAACTACAAAGAAAGTAGATTTTGTAATAAGGTTAAAATGGGATGCAATTATTCTCTGTTGCCTTAATGTAGATCACACATTTACTTTATGAAATGCGTATGTTTTTGTTTTTTATGGCTCTAACAACTATATACTGATAAAAATCTTAAGTAGTTCACTTCGTAAGCGCTGCATACAATCTGATAGACGTCATTTATATGAATTAGGGATTTCAGACAAGGCCTTATCATTTAAGACGATTTTTATTGATATTTTGAGTGTTTGTATACTTAAACTTTACTAATATTTATTGTTGTTCAATAATGTATTGGATATGTAGTGGACAGACGACGCTGGCGCTCTCTCGTATCGGAGGCCAAGACCCACTTTAGGTCGCTTTGGTCGTTTTGGTCGTTTTGGTCGTTTTGGTCGTTTTGGTCGTTTTGGTCGCAGTAAGTAAGTAATAATGTATCACAACGGTAAGTACCTAAAAATACAACGAGCGGCATTTTAAACTGCTGAATAGATGCGGTAGTAGAACTATGCAGTCAGGCTAACTCTACTGAAACTAGAAGCGGTTCCTCTTCGAAATAGTAACGGGCAACGTTTAGTTCAAGTTGAAGCACATTTTGACATTTGAATATGCTATATTCAGTATATATTCCCTTATATTTTCATATATTCCCTTTTAGTCGAAATACAAAAATGAAAAGACATTTTGTCTTCGGCTTTTAAAAACAAATCTATTAGATATATTTGCCTAAATATTTCAATTCTGTGAATATTTCATGAAAACCCAGTTTAAAAAAATTTAGATCTTATCTACTTTACATTGCTGCGTAGCACGTCTACGGCGTAGAACGTTCGAAATTTGAAATGCGTCTCACATAGTAATAAATTATCTTCATATTTGAAATCATACAATTTGTTTGATTTTAAATATCAACAAAAATAAATTAGCTTATTTATGTAAATGTATAAGTTCTTTTATTTGCATAAATACAAGATACACTGCCGGCCAAAAGTATGCGACCACTATGTATACAGGTTATAATTTGCAAAATATTTTAAATCTGCGTATGATAACAAAAAACAATATGAACACCTGTGTAATCTACAAATCATTTTCAATGTAAACACCATTTCTCTTATCTCTTACACAATGACTATGCCAGAAACATACATAAACATAAGTACATAAGTACATAAGTACATAAGTACAAAATAACCGCGTCTAAAATATTTGGGATTTTTTTGCTTTTTTTTCCTTAATCGTCCCCTAGTGTTCTTAGAATACTTACTCATAAAAATGAATTTCAATAGTAACTAAATAAGTGAATTAAAAAACACCTATAAGTTTCTAAATAATTATTTAAAATCATCAATCAAAAGCGTACAAAAGAGTATCCTTTAATAATTTATCTATTCATTTTATTAATTTACAAAACCTCTAATTTCATCATTAAGTAAATACCAATTCATTAAAAAAATCGCAATCGTCGACCGACAATTTTAATCAAAGCGCTCGACATTTAATTAACAGCTACGATATAAAGTTAACCGCATTTATACGAAATTTGTATTTACAGATACGGCCATAACTCAATCTACACCTGTTATAAATACAACCCCTCGACGCGGCACGCTATTGGCTGAATTTTTCAACCCCCAGAGTGAACAGCCAATCAAATGCTAGCGTTATATTGTTGAGGGGTGGAGTCTAGGGGGATTTCACGACTGGGATTTTGTTGAAGCAAACAGTTGAGTGACGATCTCGTAGAGTAAAGGGACCTTACTCCGTTAACCCGTTTATCGTATAACTTCGCGTTGAACCCGTAAAGTGAAAGTTTACATGAAAATTCACATTCAAAAACACTGAAATTTTTAATTAATTGAAGTAAAATATGTAGTGTTATTCAAATAATCAGTTTTTTGAAGTATTTGAATTAATTACAATGGCTGGACCGTATCTTTCGCCGTTGCCGGGCGATTTGCTGACGGAGTATATGTTTGGTCGTCGTAGACAGCGTCGGAACCGAACGACCTTTACTCCGCAACAACTAAGTGAGTTGGAGTCCCTCTTTCAAAAGACTCACTATCCCGATGTGTTCTTGAGAGAGGAAGTGGCACTACGGATCAGTCTTTCCGAAGCTAGAGTACAAGTAAGTGAAGTTTCTATGTATAAAATATAAACGTAAAAAATACCGTGAACGGGAGCTTTTGAAGTGAAAACTTACGGTTAAAGTAGTTAATCTTCTTTTAGCGGGCGAAAACCGACGAGCTTTAAGTTTTTAAATGACACGGAGTATCTAAAAGTTTTAGTTAAGTTTACTTGAGCGACACAAAAGCAAATACGCTTGAATTATTTTTTTAACTAGGCATATTAATTTTGGTTATCAGCTTATACAACTAGCAACAATTTGGTATAAATGGTTTAAAAAATAAATAAAAAATGAATTGAAGCGTATTTCTTTATGCCTCAATTAGTATTATTAAACTATATTGTAACAAACAAATAACTTTGATGTTTCCAGTGAAAACTAGTCAAGACTTTTTATTTATGAAAACTAATGAAGCTGTAGCTTGTTTAATGCGTATTAAAAATATATTTAGGCAAAAACTTTTTTTAATAATTCATTTCCAGTAATTTTTGACAGCCATAAAGTTAGTTTTCGTGCACTTTGTTAATTGAAACGTATGTAATGTAAATATTAATTAAACAATTTGTATAACTTTTATAGTTGTTTACTTCAGTGTGTTTTTTTGTAAACTAACATATTTAATGATATATTTCTTTATATTAAAAGGGTCAAACGAGCGGCGTAAACATCAAGTGAAAATGAACCCTATAATTGATCACTAGAGTAAATTAACGTAAAATAAGATAAATCTAAATTGTTTATAAAAAAAAAACGATAGCTTACATTTAACATCAATAAATTAACAAATAAAATCTACGATTTAATATTTTTGTATTAATATTAGGCAATAATCTTGAATGATTTTAAAAGGAGCGGAAATCTGCCCTTATTAGTAGCACAATAAAACTAATCTACCCCATCTTAAACAACTTAAATTGACTTGAGGGGTGTGAAGACACGTCTTTCAAGGCGTCTCTTCGTGTTGCGGTTTTCAAGTTTTCCCATTCAATATAAAGTTAACAGATTAGTTACGGCGTTTAGTTTTCATAGGCCATTACATTTATGAAAAGCTAATAAATTTTTTTGAATTTAACAAATTGGCGTTATGAGCCAATGTCATTTTAGGTATTTTAGCTATTTAAAAACTGCAGGTTAATTACATCTATTTGATTAGTTCATTTCATTAAATTCTAACAAGATAAACTACGAAAGATTGTATTTTTGGTAAGATAGCATTTATTAATGATCCTTATACTCATCGGACACCTCTAAACATTACAATAAGATGAGTGATAACTTAAAATTAAAACATATCAAAGATTCAGTACTTGTCTTTTTCGCCCGCACAAATAATTGAATAACGCCAATCGAAAGGAAGTGGCGGTCTTTCAATAGTATTTTGGCACCCCTTACTCTTTGCGTCTAAACAAGCACACTATCACCTCTTACTATTCTATAAGACCCGTCCGAAATAAATTATGTTTTCGGACCGTCGGATCCTTTCGCAGTTTTGGAATTTAGTACTTGAGTTTAAAATACCTATCCCTACACGAACGCGAAAACATTGCTGTTTTTGTTTTTGAATTTACAATTTTTAAACGTTTTTTTAAACGACTTTATGTACCTAAATAAGTGAATCATACTCGTCGTTTGCAGGTATGGTTTCAAAACCGACGCGCGAAGTGGCGCAAACAGGCGCGCCTGCAACTACTGCAGGACGCTTGGCGGATGCGCTGCCTCGGTCTCGGCACACCACCATTGCCTATGCCAGGTAAAATTCTTTAGCTTTTATTAAAATACTAGCTTTCGCCCGCGATTCCATCCGCAAGGAATTAAAAAAAGCATAGCCTATATGTTCTTCCAGAGTCTATGCCAAATTTCATTAATATCCGTCCAGCCGTTTCTGTTTCGAACAATTACAGACAACCATTCGTTTGTCTAAACTTTCGCGTTTATAATATTAATAAGATATTTACAGGCACAATTATTTAATAAGAGACATTACTATGCGAGGCAAAGACTGCTAACTAATCTCACTCCAACTGTGAAGTCCAAAACGATTTACAAATAAGTCAATGTTTTTTCAGTATGAGTTTAACATTCTTGGTAAACCTCTTATTAGTTAATGCACCAGAATGAGTAAAAGATATGTATTACAGGACATGCAAAACCACCAGACTCATCATCCGAAGGAGGTGAATCTCCAAACGACAAAGATTCACCCGAACCATCACCTGCTATGGATAATAGAGAACTGAAGTCACCCGATACTTACCATCACAACGGCAACTTAGATTCCATACCACCGCCGGTTCACGAAATGCCACCTCCGATGCAATACACCAACGAAGACAGTAGAATGATGCAACAACCGTTCCCATTCCCGCCATTATTGATGCCACAACAAATGGACAATGAAATAGTACCGACTGACTTACGAGTCATGACTTCTAAAACACCTAACTGTCATTGTGGCCCTACAGTTCAAGATCTAGATGAACCGCAAAACTTGGCTTATAGACCGAGAGAAGATCTTAAAGATACAAGTGACAGCGATAGTGATACAGAAATCGATCTTACATCTCATTCATCTAAAGATGATGATTTGCGTGAATCAGAACGGCTTGCTAATAGAATAGCAACCAGCATCTTTAGAAGTGACACGGTCTTGCACGATCTTGTACCAAACGATCTCAGTCTGGGCGCGGTAAAGAACATAAATGATAGAAATCTCAACAGGAATAATGTTACAATGTAAATTTTATAGCTGCGTCTGTATTTAGATCGCATTGAATAAATTCGGTATTAGGTTATCTTCATTAGTAATAGTTATAGCTACACTGTTAGATGGTTCTTATAACTGTTTAGGCTGTTAGTTACCTTCAGTTTTTTTAGTATTTCTCTGGCGACTTTGGAATACTTTTGCCGTATGTAAAGGACATAATTCACTGTCTGTCCGTCCGCACAATTCTGTCGTAGTTTTTCTCCATTGTAAACAATTCTCAGGATTTTAAAGTCGATTTCAGACATTTACTTTGTATGTTTATTTACTAATAATATATTATGTGTATAATTTTTTTACGAGCAATTGAAGATTGTCAAAAAGTCATCATCATAATCAGTAGCTCACTATTAATCCCCAACGAGGGGCTCGGAGCCTACCCTAAGTTAGGATGACTAGGCCGTTTGTCAAAAAGTAAACGATTGTTATCGCCTTTAATTAATTTATTGGCATAGTGAACTATTTTTTAAATTCAACAGCGGACAGTTACATTATTAACAGAATTATAAACCTACGGAGTTTATTCAATGTGGTCTGCATGTATTCGATTAATATATCGAAACGATTATCGTTTTCTAGTCAATTTACTTCTTAGTGATAAAACTTAATTATAAATTATTTTAAATAATGTACTAATGTAGAAAAAAATATATTGTATAATAGAATCGTAGAACAATGTATCGCTTTTGCTAAATGAATTTTTAGTTCATAATATAAGACAAGAACAGCGTAGTTTTTAAATATAGCGTTACGTATAATGTTATTTTCTTACTCTATCGATTTATTCTTTGTTTTGTTTATAGCTATAATTGTAGATGATTGTTAAATTATAAGATTTTCATATTACAGATAAATAAACATTAATGAGTAAGAGTTAATTTAAAAAACTAAAGAACCCGATTGCTTTTTCTCAAATAATCAGGATAAGAAAAAGAATAGAGAAAATTCTGGTAAGAATTAAACTACAAAATATTAAAATTAGATCTTTAAATAAACGATAAAATAATAACTGATATTATTTGAAAA